GTGCTCTGTGTTTAACAGAGGTGAGTTGAGAATTGGGTTTAACGTTGTGCTTGAGAATATTTCGCTCATATGACGACATGCATGCATGTGTACGTGTATGTGCGGCTGCTTGTACTAGCCCAAACTGAAGCTGGTTTTATAGTACTAGCCCACTGAGATACCATGCCGCAGTGAAGCATGAATACCCCACTCAGACACATTATACTGACTCCGTGCCGACCAGTCCTTGTTGTACCCATTAATGCCGAGCGCCAGGCAGGGACCAACAACAAGTACCAACTTTTAACGTCTTTTTGAATGACGCGGTCGGGGATCGATCAGTACTGAAGAGGCCACATGCATTTCCGTGGGTATCTGTAAGGGGGCATATGGATAAGTCTTACCCAGTATTTAATGACTTTTATATATATAGAATCTTATCCAAGTGTCTTCTGACATTAGTTATATCAACACGAGTTGATAAAGTTACAAATATCCGAGGCTTGCCGAGGATATTTAAACTTTTATCAACGAGTGTTGATATATTTGATATCAGAAGACACGAGGGTGAGATTCTATTTATCATTCAAAATCACCCTTAATTAGTTTTCAATGAAAAATGTACATCTCTGAACACAGTACTGCCATTAGGCTTGCAGTGAAGCGATGTCATAGCATTGTGACGTCATCAAGTACATGACGTCATAGCATTGTCAGGGCATTGTACAAAATCTAGTGTCAAAACGATATATCTTCTAGGAGATATCGTTTGATCTCACACAAGAGATATCTCCTGTGGAACACAGTTGTGGATGATAAAAACATATATATACATGGGATAACGCCCTGTTTCCCCATACACCATAACACGTTGTATTTGTTTTAATTCCTAGGGTTGTTTTTACACGCATATAGGTGTACTTTTTCAATTGCATCATAAGCTTTTAATCCCCATACCTCTGACCCATAAAGAGGTATTTTTGCGTCAAATATCTTGAAAATAGCATTATAAGATATGTCAAAGTACAAAAAGGTTCTTGCCAATTCCTATCAGTATTTTCTTAGCCTGGTTTGACGCCTCCTTGGTATGTAAGTTCCAAGTGAGGCGATCCGTAAAATACACACCTAGATATTTATAAGAAGATGTAGTTTCTATCATCTGCACATTATAATACCACTTCTCATTTTTTAAAGCAATCACTTTAGTTTCGTCCATATTTACTCTCAATTTTGTACCTTCACAGTATGTTTCAAGTTCCCAAATTTGTTGCTGGAGTCCATTGTAGTGGAAAACATTGTAACAGCATCTGCAAAAAGTAATAAGAAAAGCTCAATGGTATTGGGGTGTAGTTGTATTCCATACCTGCAGTTTTCATGAATTTGGCTGGCTAATTCATTAAGAAAGAAAGAAAAGAGAAATGGGCTCAGAATACATCCTTGTGCGCTGGGCTCTAATCTACTTGTATGGCGGCGTGTCTGCTAAATGGGAATTAAGCCCAAAGTGATCCAGGTGATTGTGGCAACCCACGAACATGGGTGCGGTGGTGACACACCCAGATCAGGACGACTCTGGGATTCGAACCCACAAAACCAGGCATTATCCCTCGCCTAGAATATGAATCTATGAACAACAGTTCTGCGGCTTAGACCACTGTGACACCAGTTTGAGTAGGTGAGTGAGTGAGTGAGTGAGTGGTGGGATTTGTTTTAGATCTTTTTGAACATTATACACTTTTTGTCAACTTAATCTAGTAGTAAAGGCCCACGTTTTGAACACGGGTGCTGGAGAATCTAGGATTTGAACCAACGAACATAGAATTCTGGCTCGCTACAGGTCTACAACAGCTCGCCTGAAGAACACGTCCATGCTCAGCCAACTGTGATCCTGTAGACGATTGTGTCATTAATTCCTCTAAATTTGAGGAAGGTGAACAACATATTTGTTTTTAAGTTTCTCAGCTTAGGTTTTAAGTTTCTTGAGTTAGTAACAGTCCTTTAACAAATGAAAATGACAACGAAAGATCTTGACGTCCCGATCCCGTCAGTCCCCCCTTACGATAGGCATAGGTTACTGAAACTCAATTCTAATCCGGATGTTCACGGGTTGATGATGAACAATAGTGTCCATGATTTGAAGAGTGGATTTGAGGGGTTATTGAAACGGATATTATCAAATCATTGGATAGTTCTTTCTTTTTCTGAATCTTCAAACTTTCAGATGATTCTATAAGACATTTCACCTCCGTACATTTTGAGGGCATTTCCTTACTAATACGTCTCAGAAGAAGATTTGTGAGATAAAGCTTACTTGTGAAATACACCTGTGTTACCTGTACAATTTATGTAAGTTAATACTGATTCACATCTACAGCGACAATGGGCTGTGTGTCGGGCTGACTGTTGAACTGCTTCTTGTCATGATATAGGGCACACTCAGACACAACGGGTAAACTGACGGGTCTCCCTTAGCAACAAACACAATCAAGGTGACTCAGCCCATAGTCTACCAGTCAACAGTCCACTGAAAACGATAAAGTTGATCAAGTGAACAAACGCATATCACATAATATTCAAATAGACATGAACAAAAACACCATTGGCAGAATAAAGCACGCGTTTCTTGAAAATATGAGGAGTCAATCACGTTCAGGGCAGATCTCAGTTCTAAGTACAGTGATGTGACCTCTCCTCATTACGGGTCACTTCAGAACGACATCTTGTCCGACCTATCAGAACTACACTTGCTGGCTTGGCAAGGCGACAATCGGAATGTGTCAGATAGGGAACCACGAATGGGCTTATACGAGGAATTCCGAACGACAGGTTCGGGATGTACTGATCCCGTCAGAATCATCGTGTAGCTCTCGCTTCAGTGATGTACACATTTTAAACGGAAAAAACGATCCACATCCTTGTTGCCATACAAACTTGCATATCCATCAGACATTTTAGAATTTTCCTTTCAGTCTCAAAACTAAAGTGATTTTTTTCTGGAATGGAGGGAATCGTCTTGGAACTAGTGCCGTAAATCTGCAGCTTCCTGGTCTGCTAATGGTGGCATCAGGGATGACCGTTCCGACCAGACCTGTCATGACATATCCCCAGATCCTTGTGTAACGTTAGCGAGAAGTATGGTGTGATTGTGATATTGTTAGATCTATGTGCAATGTATACCAAGTTATACACATACAGAACTCACATCAGGAAATCACAGATCAATATTAGTCGATCAATAATTTAGTGTTCCTTCTCTGTCTTGAACTAACTGGTTTCAGGGAGACGCTGCATGATAAAACTTGAATGAACAGGCAGATACAGAGTGAGTGAGTGAGTGAGTGAGTGAGTGAGTGAGTGAGTGAGTGAGTGAGTGAGTGAGTGAGTGAGTGAGTGAGTGAGTGAGTGAGTGAGTGAGTGAGTGAGTGAGTGAGTGAGTGAGTGAGTGAGTGAGTGAGGTGGGTGGGTGGTGTGTGAGTGAGGGAGGAAGGGAGGAAGGGAAGGAGAAGGAAACGAATCTGATTCCTTTCAGAGACGTCGTATGCTTATGGAAGGCCGAATGTCGTTTTTATTTAATTGATACCTTATCAGGAATTTGTTCCTAGGTGAAGAGTAGAACCCGGATCACAGCGTGACAAGCCAACGCTCTAACCACTGAGCCAATCAGCAGTTGCCTGGGAATGTCTTACAGTTATAAGATATATGGGCCGTACAGATATTCGGAGTTGAGGCTACACTGACCATGGTATAACCCTACAAGGTATGGGTGCCTATGTTGTCATGTGACGTGGTTAAGAGTTGGGCCCTTATTCTCGTAAAGTTCGTAGCCCTAAGAATTCTTAACTTTGATCGTAGCCAATGTGTTAAGAATGGGCTAAAGAAGTTCGTAGGGTTTACGAAGGTTTCGAGAATAAGGGACCAGGTCTTCAGTACTGCCCCACGCTGAAACACGTTACATGTAATGTCTCCGTAACAAAGAGGTGAGGTGAGAATTGGGTTTAACGTTGTGCTTGTGAATATTTCGCTCATATGACCACGTGCATGCGTGTGTATGTGTATGTCCGGCTGCTTGTACTAGCCCAGACTGAAGCTGGTTTTATAGTGCTAGCCCACTGAGATACCATGCCGCAGTGAAGCATGAATACCCCACTCAGACACATTATACTGACTCCGAGCCGACCAGTCCTTGATGTACCCATTAATGCCGAGCGCCAGGCAGTGACCAAACAAGTACCATATTGAAACGTGTTTTGGTATGACTCGGTCGGGGATCGAACCCGCGACCTTTCGCTCTCCGGACGGACGCTCTAACCACTACACCACGGAGGCGGTCCCGTAACAAAGAGAATTAGTGGTCGAAATATGTAAACTGCCGGATGAGAAGGTAATGTAACTGTAAACCTGGTAGCGCTTTGTAGCCGCATGTGTTGGATACTCCCCAGGACGTTCAGAATGATATTTGCGAGCCTACGGATCCATTGAGTGAGATAATCACGATAAGTGCCATGAACATACCAGTAGACGCCGAGTTTAGTGGGACAAACTGTCATATATCCATGACAACAACAGCAACACTAATGATAATAATAATTATGATGATACAAACATATCAGCCTATTACGAAATGACACTCTAATGTGACAATTCATCATTACTTATATCGCATCAGTTACACTGAATATTGACAGTATATTTATTTATAGAACCCACTCTTGTCATAACGGGGACGATTCTTTCAGGTCAGGAACACTACATGCACTACTTCTCTTTGATAAAACACACTGATTCTCGTGTTCACTGTATAGTTGAACAGGACGACGTATTACATTTATCAACAGTTGGGTCATGTTTTGTTTTCATTGCGAAATTCACTCTGCTTCACAACCATGAAAGAAATGAATGGCAGGTGTCCAAACGCTGTAATCCTCTTTGAATACGTCTCAAGAAGAGGCGTGTAAAGTACACAAGTCCTGAGCGTTGACCAACTGGACCGAAACGTGGCCATAAATACCCGTTGCTACCTGGCCCAACAAACACATGCCGATCAATGCACAATCCACGGCTGCAGCTTATGTATTCGTTCTTGGCGGATGGTGTTTTCTACGTTAATACAGGGCTATGGGATTCAGTATATAAGGCTTTGATATACTGAACAGGGAACAAACATGGCGGCAGTTTTGACCAGATGCTTGGTTCTTATGTTTTTCGTTTATTCCATACGTGATTCATCAGCTGAATCTGCTGACGAAGATATAACTGGTAAGTCTATTGCTCACGTAAAACCTATAGCTTCATTTCTTGCCAGCTTTTTTAATAGGTTGATCCAGTTTTAACTTGAATTATTAAAACACGAAAGCATTGTCTCGCCATGGTGAAAACATTGCCTAAAAAGGAAATGATTGAACTAAGTGAACGACAAGCGAGCTTTGGTTTGAGAACGTGTGTTGGTCATATGTCCGTATAAGCAGGGAGAATAGAAGATCATGCTGTAGATTATCCCTGGTCATATGTCCGTATAAGCAGGGAGAATAGAAGATCATGCTGTAGATTATCCCTGGTGATATGTCCGTATAAGCAGGGAGAATAGAAGATCATGCTGTAGATTATCCCTGGTGATATGTCCGTATAAGCAGGAGATCAATAGAAGATCATGCTGTAGATAATCCCTGGTGATATGTCCGTATAAGCAGGGAGAATAGAAGATCATGCTGTAGATTATCCCTGGTGATATGTCCGTATAAGCAGGGAGAATAGAAGATCATGCTGTAGATTATCCCTGGTGATATGTCCGTATAAGCACGGAGAATAGAAGATCATGCTGTAGATTATCCCTGGTGATATGTCCGTATAAGCAGGGAGAATAGAAGATCATGCTGTAGATAATCCCTGGTGATATGTCCGTATAAGCAGGGAGAATAGAAGATCATGCTGTAGATAATCCCTGGTGATATGTCCGTATAAGCAGGGAGAATAGAAGATCATGCTGTAGATAATCCCTGGTGATATGTCCGTATAAGCAGGGAGAATAGAAGATCATGCTGTAGATAATCCCTGGTGATATGTCCGTATAAGCACGGAGAATAGAAGATCATGCTGTAGATTATCCCTGGTGATATGTCCGTATAAGCAGGGAGAATAGAAGATCATGCTGTAGATAATCCCTGGCGATATGTCCGTATAAGCAGGGAGAATAGAAGATCATGCTGAAGATAATCCCTGGTGATATGTCCGTATAAGCAGGGAGAATAGAAGATCATGCTGTAGATTATCCCTGGTATAAGTAACTAAGACTCGTCGCGGCTAGTTTTAAAGGAGACATGCCGTACAGATCTGACATAAAATCATTATTTGCAATTAATACAAGTATCCTGAAGAAAAGTAATTTTCAAAAGTAAGCAGTTGTAGCACAAAAACGTTAAATATAACTACTCGTATTCCAAAATCCATCGTCGGAAAGGCATGTTCGTCCAGTGTCATCTATCATAAGACACAACATCTCCGTGTTACGTGTGGGACGATGATTATGCCCTGCCAGGCCTATGTTGCAAGCTGGATTACTGTTGCCGAGGGGTGAATATTACCATCGCTCTCTGTACTGCTACACTCACTGCTGTTGTATAAAAATGTTATATTTGAATGTATACTGCCTATCTATTTTGTACTGCCACAGTGATGTCTATGTATTGATGTGTATTGATTTGTGAACTTAGCTAATTTTAGAATATCATATTCCTTTGCTGTTTGTTGGTTTCGCACTATTCCTCAATCAATCAATCAATCAAGGGAGTGCTTATTTACGTCTCACTTGTGTAAATAAAAACATATTTACAAACCATCATCAACAATACAAAAATTAAAACAGAGGTACACAACCCATCGGCCAGCGATTTATGAGAGACGATGAAAGACAAGTATAATAATTCAGAATATTATATGTACATATATTATTGTAAAAGATATATAAAAAAATAACTAAAAAAGAGCTCTCTCCGTTTGGCTAACTACAGTGACAGGTGCTGGCAGTAAAAGAAACAGTATCTGGTGAGCTTAAAATGCGAATAAACTTATCACGATCCGGTAAAAAACTAAAATCATCCCACAAACCTTGACAATGTTTAAAAGGCTTTCCCGTTCTGCAGCAAAGACGGGGTAAATTAGAAATGCGTGTAGTTCATCTTCAAGCTGGTTTGTACAATAAAAACAGTTCCAATTTTCCAGCATGCCTCTCCAAAAAAAATAATATAGTCATCCGAAGTAACTGTCTCAACGATGTTAACAAGTAGGCGCCTTTCCACATAATTAAAAGTTGCTATATGTTCCAAATTCTTCTTCTGCACCATTCTGTTGTTCCAGTTCTTTCTTGTTGAGGTACCGGCCCAATCGATGTTTTCTATTCAGCCGCTGTCGTCTCATGTTTAGGGTCCGATTCCCGGTTAACATTTTTGTTTCAACTTGGAAATCAACAGTTAACACCCGACACCTGACACCCGACACCCACCCAAAGTGATTAACGCATACCTTGTTCACATGCCTGACAGTGACCCCATACTGAGAGCGGCTAAAAGCGTCCGTATGGACCAACCTGTCACCATGACACAGCACATATCCAGCGTACTGAAACGAGATACGAAACAATGAAGGCAAGGACAAACTTTATGGATGAACAACTTCTTTATTCGGATGATGCGACATTTCGATACAGACTCCTAAAGCAGCCAGCCGATATAGTCACCACATTCTCCACTTCACGAACCTTATCCAGGCCAAATGGCGTAACCACCCATACAACGGAAAAGTCAACACTCAGGGTGTATTTGATGAAGCCTTCTATGATCAGGTTCAAGCTGAGATGAGTGACGCACACCGTGGAATCCCCACCGGTAGATATAAGTCCACTGAAGACCCCTATTTCACGCGATGAAGTGGTACGCTCAGTCAGTCGCGCCAAGTGTGGTAATAAGACTGCAGGATGTGACCTCATTCCCGCAGAGGCACTTAAGAACAATACCTGTGTTGATATTCTGCTCCGGTTGGTTACTTACTGCTTTGAAATAATGTCAGACAGACAGACAGACAGTCAGACAGGTATTTTATTTACGTCTCACTGCATATACAACATAAAATATAGACAAAATAACAAATGATCAATAAACGCACATGCACCATTCCTTATGGAACTCTGAGAGACTAAATCTAAAATATATACAGGCTACTAAAAGTCACAAAAAAGCGTTAGCGTTAATACAAAATTGCAATTTAACTATTATATAGAAACAATCGCCTTCTAGATAGAATAAGGAATAAAGTTTTGGCAACACTTATAACAACTTCATAATTTGACATTAAAAATACCAAATTTCTCTTCTTCGGTAAGATTAAAAAATCACCATAAATAGTACAAACATTGGTAAACAATTCTGATCGCAAGTCATCGTTCATCGAGCACTTAAATAAAACATGTAATTCGTCTTCAATACAGTTATCATTGCGCAGCAGACAGGTGCGTTCTTCTACAGGTAAATGTTCATAACGCCTCGCTTCAATTCTAATTGGAACAACCCCACATCTAAATTTGGCAAATGCACTTCTGTAACATCTTGGCATAAGAATATCAACCCGCGGTATTGGCTACATCTTCAGACCACGACTCAACAAGCTTTGCATTGTAAATTTCAAACATATGATCAACAATTGAACAAAGTAAAAATACATTTACATTACACTAGAGTTCCATATCATGCTGGGTAAAAAGAGAGCGCACATTAAAGTTTTACAATGACGCGACTGACAACTCTCACTCCATATAAATACCTTTCTGTTCAATCTATCCCTATCCATGTTGACTAATCGTCTCGAGTGTCTTAACACAGCTTTCCACTTGGAAACAGGCAGAGGCTTCCAACCCGTATCTTCATTCACAGCATGATTCCGAGGAAATATCTATAGGCCTGATTCTGTACCTTATTCATAACACTAAAATCTTTAGTACCCCATACAGCAGCACCATACGTAATGATAGGTAAAACAATAGATTCATACAATTTTCTAAAAGCATTATGAGGCATACCTCCCAGGGCTTTTCACTTGGCAATAACAAGACCCAGTGCCCCACTGGCAGAGTGGGCAACAGCCTTAGCGGTAACATTGAAGTCTAGATGTTCCTGTATCACAAGGCCAAGGTATGTATACCTATCTACCAGATTCAGTAAAAGATCACCACATGTAAAAGATGTAACAGTCCTTGCCACGGAGGGGTTTCAGAAGTGAACAACCTTTGATTTGTCACTGTTTACTGTCTGCCCCAGACATTTGGGGCGAAAGTATAATAACACTTGTAAAGCAACCGGGTACCCTCTAGGTTATCGCGGCATATCACTACTTTCTGTCTCTTGTAAGATATATTCGGATATATTAAATACCCGTTTCACGAATTGGCTAGAAGCTAACGATATCTTGGCTGAGCAGCATATATGGGTTTCGAAGCAAGCGTAGTACAATCGAACATACTGAGTGAGTAAATATTTAACGTCACATCGGCAATATCTCAACCACCGAACATATACATGTATATATATGCTCTGTTTTCAGTAATTAATAATAGGAAATCGGTTAAGACTTCAACATTTTTACGCTATATCGATGTCATGAAGGCCAATGGTCACGTTAATCGAGACTATCTGTGGTACAAACTGATGAAGCTACGATTTAATGGTAAAATTTATCTTTCCTTTAAGTCCCTATATAATAACATCCGTGTATCGGTTAATAGTCGGCTTACAGATGGGTTTGATATACCGAGCGGGGTTAGACAGGGGTGCATCATATCGCCATCACTATTTTCCGTATTTATTAACGATCTGGCTTACGAGATAAATAGTCTAAATTGTGGTGTTAATATAGGTGGCAATCTTCTTAGTCTCTTGCTGTATGCTTTGCACGAATTGCGCCAAATGAACATTCTTTGCAAGAAATGCTCGACTCTGTTTCTGAATGCTGTAAGAGGTGGAGAATTCAAATTAATATTAACAAAACTAAGAATGTTCACTACCGTCCTCCGTCAGTGAATCGAACATTATTTCGGTTTCAGTGTGACAATGAGACCATTAACATTTGTCCGTCATATGAATATCTAGATATAGGCTTATGGTACGAAGAACACTTAAATTTGAACAACACAGCCAAAGAAATCGCCACATCAGCGAGTAGAGCATTGGGTGTTATAATATGCAAATATAAATATTTTGGAGGAATGCCATATGATGTATGTAGCACTTGAATAAATAATCTGGTCCCGCCAATCCTGTCATATGGCTCGGTTATTTTTGTCAATCGAGAATACAGTTGTATAAATGCGGTGCAAAATAAAGCATCCCATTTCTTTTGGGGGTTGCAAAATATACTCAAAACGTGTCTGTTCGTGGTGAGATGGGCTGGTTCGCCTAACTTACCAACCTGAAAATAGAAGTCTTCCGATTTGGGAGAAGGATAAAATCTGTCTCGCCATCTAGACTTGTTGCACAGATACGAACTTGGTCTTATGCCTTTCGAAAGTCATGGGTCAGGACGGCTGGTACCATGTTCGCCTCTCTAGGACTAGACATTTATATTTTCTCTTCCAGTGATTTTCATATAATCATACGTACATTGAGAGTCAATGACGCAAGTGTATTAAATGACCAAAGAAACTCTCTGTGAAAATTAACTGTGCGTTTTGGGGTTTCATACACAGACTTTAATGCTACATTCGCATATACTAACCCAAAATAATACGCATAGGCGTTTCGCATTTTTAAAACTTAATTAATTACCTATTGTGTACAAACAATCGTCCTAATATGTAACAAAAGTATTGATAACATGCTTTTACACAACTGCACAAGTAAAAAATCGAGTTTACCTGAAAATGTTGATTTTGATGAGATTTCTTACAATGTCTTAAAAGGCATCGCCTTGCAGTTGAAATTGTGCAGCGAAGAGCATGCACTGTCTGGCTATAAAATCCAGATTACTTTCTGAAATCGGCATTCCTTTTGAAGGAGTTTCAAGGTCAAATCTCTACCCCACGTCTTGACACTGCGACACGGAACATCGCCATTGAAAGAATGCACGCTAGAGATTACCAATCTTCTGTTGCCAGGCGTCTGAATGTTAGTCTGAGCACGATATCACGGCTTACAGCTCGTTACAACAAAACAGGTATAACACATGACCGTCCCCATACAGGCAGACCTCGAGTCACCACTGCAGCCCAAGGTCGGTACATTTGCGTGATCGTACTGCCACGGGTGAAAGCACAGCAGCCAGGGTGCCTGGACTTCGGAGGATGTCCGGTCCAACTGTAGGGAACATGTTGAGAGAGATTGGACTGAGAGCCAGGACACCCGACGTCGGGGCCATGCTACGTCATCACCATCGAGCTCAACGTCTCCGTTATCTAAAATTATCCACTTGGATGTATAGACATTTCCTTGTTCTAAACTGATATACAAATTCATGTACTAAAGTCTATTTGTGGACGAGTTATACATGTTCGCAAAAACAACATTTCGCAACAGATTTCTTGGTTGTGCGTTTCTTTTTTGGAATAGTATATGTTATAATTGGGATCACTTGACTATAATCCAATGAACCTACTGATATCCTCGTGTGTCATATGCCTAGTGGCCTACTCACTCACTCATTAATGTGTCCATACATGAGTGCAAAATATGCGCAACTAATCCATGACAGCACATCTACAGCTCGTTCAGCTTGACCTGAGCCACTCTACATAGAAGTGGTAGAACAGCTAGAACAGCCAGGTAATCCACAAGCGTGTGCAGTGAAATTTAAACTTCACACGTACAACTCGCACACCTGGCTGTTCTACCAGCAAGTGGTCCTCCCTCGTAAGACACAGCAAATAGTGACAACAAAATAATGATCGTTTGTTAAACAACTTTTTTATTCGGGTGTCCAAAATTGTAAGACAAATCACCAGAGTTGGTCTATCGAATTCACGTGACTGTGCAAAGTTTGATTTTGTTGCATGTATTAGATTTTGTTTTAGTGAGTAATCCATCGGTCTCAAATGAAGTTGAACGTACTGTACTTTGGACTAATGTTGGATGAGTACACTGATATCTCGCCCAGAAAGCATCTTGCAGTTGCTGGATGTAATGTTGAGATTGGAAAATCAAAACTTGCATTTCTACAGAATTCTGAAATAACAAATGCAAAAGCAGATACGATAGTGAAGAGTGTGAAGGACTATGTGAAGAAGGCAATTCTTTACCAGAAGACGATGACTTGTTTTGCAAATGATGGACCAGCAGTCATGACAGGAAAAAAAAGATTGGTGTTGTGACACAGCTAAGTAAAACTTACCCAGCTTTGATAGATGTGCACTGTGTTAATCACAGACTTCAGCTTACTAGTAAGTTCAGCATTCAAGTCTGTCACACTCACTGAAAGTGTTGAGGAACTGCTGATGAGACTGCTGATGAGTTCAAGTACTACCATTACAGCACCGTGAGATAAAAAAGCTGGGAAATGATGCAGCTGTTGACTACGGAAATGGAAGGCGACATGTCAGATGAACCAAATAGAGGCCGTATTACAATCAAGAAGGCTGTCCATACCCGGTGGCTCAGTCTAAGAAGGCTGTTCATGCAGTGAGGCAGTGCTACCCATCAATCCTTGCTGACTTAGAGAATGCTATAGGCATGGGCAATGATAAGAATGCTGGGGACAAGCAGAGTGTCACTACTGAAGGACTACAGGCATCTCCAGGCTATTCGCTTGCTCTGTTTCGCGTGCTCTCTGTTATCTGGTCTAACAAAGTTGTTTGAGAGAAGGGATATGGATTTGAGTGGTTTGGAACCACAAATACAAATACACAATGCCATTTTAGAAAGTGGTCAAATGTAAGTGTAATCCCATATAGAACATGTGGCACAAATACAAAGTAGCACGGCATCTTTGAGAAAAATGAAAAGACAAGACAGGCTCATCTAAGTCGCTTTGATTAGCATGCTGACCTGTAAAACCTGGAGAAGACTGAGAGCAGGAGGACAGATATCAAGTCTTTAAAAGACATCTTCCTGGAATACCTGATACAGAACATGGAAGAGAGGCTGCAGGTCACACCCATCATCACTAATCTGTCATCACTGGCTCTGAGGAAGGCTGGATATCCTTCTTTCCTGACTTTCCATTGGGGATGCTGAGGTATCACAAATATCTATATTAATACTGCTGTCATGACATTTGTCTTTTAGAAGATTCTTCTTTGTGTCCCAGAGAATCATGATCAAGAAATTTGTGTTAGTATTTACCTGCGATAACCAGTAATCTATTTGAAATGGAATTCTATCTGGAATAAATTTAATTTAATGATTTAATTGATTTTATTATAATTCAATGCGTTTGTTTCTTTTCAGATGACACATCTTTCAAAAGATTTCGGATGTCGACCAGACACAGATTGAGTCTAGTCAAATAAAGGAGCTGTTTTCAGGGGAGCTTGACACCAGTTCACCCTCCACCATTTTGAAGACCCTCATCCGCCTGAAGCTCCAACCTGGAAACTTGTATCCAAACATTGTTCAATTACTGTCCATCCATGCAGCTGTGATTCTGTCCAATTCTGAAGTGGAGAGAGCGTTCTCAAAGTGAAACTGATTGTATCAGATCATAGAAACAGACTCACTGTTCAAAACTGCAAAAGGTTTCTCATGATTAGCCAGAATGCATCTTCAGCTTCAGACTTGGAGAAAGTTATGAACAGATATTGGCAAGAAAGAAAAGAAAACTGTAAATTATTGTTTGTGTGGTTTGTGAAATTGTAAACAAATGTGACAACAAATTAAAGTCTTGAAATGCTTGTTTTCAAATGATTATCTTACAATACAGAATAAGAAGAGTAATAAATTAACTTTAGAATTAAAATTATAAGAGCATTTGACTTCATGTACATATTGTTATTTTTTCAATAATTCTCTCCAATATGACCTTTTAAATAATGAAGTGCCCTTTTCTATGTAGTTACCCTTCCCTTTCTGAATCCTAGGGGGAACACTAATAATTAGCACAATAAAAATATATCTTAATCTGTAAAACATAATAATAGTATATCTTAATCTGTAAAACATAATAATAATATATCTGAATCTGTAAAACATAATAATAATATATCTTAATCTGTAAAACATAATAATATTGATCATGGGTTAGTTTGGTGCCATGTGTGCAAACAGATAAAAGGGCGTAAGATCACAAAACATCATTTACAAACATTCGTTTGTACACCCCCCTATTGCAGATGAAGATGGTCGCCCACATGGTCCGTATACTCCATGTCATTAACATGTTGATTCAGATGCTTGGTCTTCAGTGAGGCAATACGAACATCAATGTGTGTGTATTTATGTCACCGTGAAGGTGCTGTCCACTGGTCAGATAGTCTCAGGACAACAACCTCTGTGAGAGACTATTCACACTGGAAGAGCTTTACTATCTCGTAAATGTTAGGGTGGCACTTCTGGACAAGTCCCTTGACCGTATTGTGTCATCCTTTTAGATTATTGTTGGTACAGCGGCTCTGGTTTTCGAAGTGATTCCAAACCTCTGATGTGAAGCCCTGGCGCTGAACCCAGTTGCTTGTCACATAATCCATGAATGCAGTTACTTTTGGGCCGGCCTGAGAGTCAGCAATGGCATCAAGCCATACATCAACCACCTTATCACGAGGCACTAGAGGGAGTGGGGGACAGCAGCTCTTCTCACTACCTTCCTCATCTACCTTATAGTCCATCACCAACCCTTCCTTCTGCGCCTCCGTTCAAAGTCCAAGATGACTTTAATTAACCAATCACAATCCAGTATTTAATCAAGTCATGGTAGAATAAATTGTGCACTGTCACAATATGTTTGGCAGCTACACCCACCCGAATGTAATATTTCAGAGTTCATGGACGAGAAGTGCGATGTGTTTATAGACTTCAACCTTTTCGGTATGTCGGAACGACTTGTGAAACTATCCAAGTCCAACGTCTACTCTGCTGACAGTAGCTGTTTCATCAAGTTCCAAGCTAAAGCAGGCCACAGACTGATGTTCAAATTCCTGTCGGTTGAGATGGATACATGTGATGACTTCCTGGGTGTTTACGGTAACTCCCTCACCGCTCCAGACGGTGAGTGAAACCCATCCTTACCACTCAGGGGATTAGTAGTCGGAATGGGCGATCTATCCCCCCGACCCTCTTCATAACTATTCTTCATAATGATTTTGATGACGATGACAATGATGACACATTCACACACACACCTTCAGATACTCGTACACCTTCACACACACACAGGCACACACACCCCTTCTCTCACACATACACATAGATACACACAACTTCACACACACACCTTCATACACACACACGCACACACCTACGCACACGCACATGCACGCGGATTGACGTGAACGGTGGATTATATTGAAAATAATTGACCTAATTATTATCTTGTAAGCTTAACTCATTGTCAAAAAGGCTGTAGATTTAGTGACTGGGGTTTACCGAACAATTACAAACTTAAGCAACAGGTTACTAACCTGAAAACGGTTGACAAGATGACACCCGTATATTAAATACATAATTATATACATGCATTCGTTTCTGTTTCACTCTTGATATGAAAAAATATGACATACCTTTGCAATTGTCTTTCAGCCATGAATGCATTTGTGTGTAGTCAGCCACATACAGTGTATACCACTCCGAGCAGGACAGGCTTCTTGTTGTTCAAAAGCGATGCCCAGGGAAATGCTGGAGGGGCCTCCGTCCTTGTGTCAATGTTCAAGACCAAGAGTACGTTCTAGTCGAACATTTACTGAATTATCCATGAGTTGCGAGGAAATTCTTCTCGATGAATAAATGTTGTTGGGTCCCAAGCATGCTGGAGAACACTGAACATTAGCAGCGACAATTGTTTGGCATTACTTTCAGTACCTTCAGTCTTCACAGTGAATGTTAAAATTTAAATAAAATGAATCTCGTTTTATACTTAACATACACACCATTTTCTAACGCTTAGACCCGTGAAAATCCGGGTTAGAAATGGTTTTCAGCAACCGATGCTTTTCGTACGAGGCGACGAACTAGATGAGTGGTAAGGCTCGCTAATTTGATTGAGGCATGTAATCGTATCCCAGTTTCGCAGATCGATGCGCATGGTGGTGATCACTGGATGTCTGGACTATAGTTTGGCATGAAATGCATGTGGACCCGTTTTTTTTGTTTATAAATATCTCTTCATCCAATGACCCAATCGATCTCAAACTGTGCAAGTGGATGTTTTGTCAGACAACCTAACCACATTGTAAATCACCGATTTTATGCACTTGTATTAAAGAATCTGTTTATGTAACCGTCAACAAAATAAACAGCAGACCGCAGACTGCTTACAGAGGGAGGGAGCTAATGTCCTGTAACAGCGGCAGTGTTGGGTCATAAAGGTCATCGTTCGTCAATGTAGGTCAGCTATGCACGTGACAGGTATGAAGAGGTGTTCACTTCTAGCAAATAGCCGGCGAATTCACTACTATAATTCACGAACGTATAATTCACTACTCCCAGTTTGTCTACTCATAAACATAAACATATACTGGAACATCCCTACACTTAATCATGTACTGTACCCGTATAATTCACTACTCCCAGTTTGTCTACTCATAAACATAAACATATACTGGAACATCCCTACACTTAATCATGTACTGTACCCGTATAATTCACTACTCCCAGTTTGTCTACTCATAAACATATCCTGGAACATCCCTACATTTAATCATGTACTGTACCCGTATAATTCACTAGTCCCAGTTTGTCTACTCATAAACATAAACATATACTGGAACATCCCTACACTTAATCATGTACTGTACCCGTATAATTCACTACTCCCAGTTTATCAACTAAGAAAATTATGAACCTATTAGGGAGGCTCACAGCGACTACCCGTATTTGAATCATTAGAAGCTAAGTGTATCAGGGATGTTGTGATCATTCATTTGTTTGTACAGGTTGTTTGTTTTGAAACAACCATCATCATCACCATGTCCTCCGTTTGGAGATTATTGTAAATATATTTACAACTTTGGACAGTAGACGGACATTTACATGGTTTCAAAAAGAGATGTGGGTTGGATTATATAATATAAAAAAATATACCTGTGGAATAAAGCGGGTAATGACCTAACACTGAATAAACTGTCGAATTATTTCTGAACCTCTAACAATATTTTTTTTACAAAACTCCAAATGTAACCTTTCAATATTCAATTATAACCCCATATATTAGATGTATAAGATAATGTACTGCCGACAAACCAACCTAAGTAATTGAAACAGCGCGACCTGCTATCATAGTAAATGGAAAAACGGGCTTTCTACCCTGATCTGTCAACGCCGCTGATCCTTTAAAAATCGGTTATTGTAATCAAAATGATAAAATTAAAATGTTCTTATGACAACTGCACCGGGTAGGTTTAAGTAGTGCACAAATAACCAATGTGCAAGAGTTTTGGATAGAGGAATGTGGAATGCATCACCCAGGGAAAGGAAGTACAGAGAGTTAGTTATGCTCGCCTCCGCCGCCTGCAGGATCAGCTCCGGAAAAATCAGAAGTCGCCTAATGACTTTGGTCGTGCTGCAGGCTGGGTAGCAAAACAGTTTTTGTAAATTCCCTGAACTCTTCCACAGCAATGACCTATGTAATTAGCTGAAAACATATTGTATAAACATGGTACAGTTATAATTGTTGGTTTTTTGTGTATATTATTATGGTGGAACAGTCTATTCGGTGGAGGGGAGAGAGTTAGTAATTAAAAAGCATTTGACTGGAACAGATTGTGTATTGGACGGAGGTCAAACTGAGGGTAATCGTAAAGGGAGTGAACTCCAGATTCGTAAGGTACACGAAACCCGATTCGCATAATCACTCACACACTCACATTTCAGGTGGTCGTTGTGGCAATAAATATTTCAACTGCGATAATGATCGGTGCGTCCCCGACGACCTGAAATGCAACACACGGGACAACTGCGGCAACAACCAGGATGAGGAGGAGGGGTGTCGGTGGTGGCTGGGCTTGGCAATCGGTCTCTCGGTCACGGCGGTTTTCGGAATCGGCGCATTAATCTTCTTCATAATATTCCTCAAGAAATACTCCGGTCGTAAAAAGGTCGGTGAATACTTGTTCAATGTCGCTTAAGAATAAGCACGATGTATTAAGCACGATGCGGGTGCGTGTGGTGTGTACTGGCCGACGTTTAAATATATACACGGTGTAGAGTGGCAGGCCTTTAAATATATACACGGTGTATAGTGTCAAGCGTTTAAATATATACACGGTGTATAATGGCCGGTGGTAAAATGTTTATACGCTGTATAGTGGCAGGCGTTTAAATATATACACAGTGTATAGAGGCAGGCTTTAAGTATATACACGGTGTATAGTGGCAGGGTCCGAAATCACCTAACACTACACGGTGTATAGTGGCAAGCGTTTAGATATATACACAGTGTATAGTGGCCGGTGTTTAAATATATACACGGTGCATAGTGGCAGGCGTTTAAATATATACACGGAGTATAATGGCAGGCGTTTCACTAGTGGCATGCGTTTAATATATACACGGTGTATAGTGGCAGGCATTTAATATATACACGGTGTATAGTGGCAAGCGTTTAGATATATACACGGTGTATAGAGGCCGGCGTTTAAATATATACACGGTGTATAGTGTCAGGCGTTTAAATATATACACGGTGTATAGTGGCAGGCGTTTAAATATATACACGGTTTATAGTGGCAGGCATTTAATATATACGCTGTGTATAGCGGCAGGCTTTTAATATATACACGGTGTATACTGGCAGGTGTTTAAATATATACGCTGTGTATAGTGGCAGGCTTTTAATATATGAACGGTGTATAGTGGCAGGCGTTTGCATTGATATCTGTTTCGTGTTGTTATTTAAAGAAACACTAGGGCTATACAATGTACAACATCCACGCCTTCGTGGACTCCAGCTACAATGTGTGATGTGATAACTAAGAATCCTGCGTTCACAGGTTCAAAGCCAGCCTGTGCAAAGCTGGACTCTCGCGCCACCCCAACAGAGCTGGACACACACTCACGCCTCCGGCAGCTCTGGGAACCAACACCAGATGCAGCATGTTTCCCAGTCCTACCCCACAAAGACCGGTAACAACACACAGTACTGGGATATGGGAAGAGGTCAAGGTCAGCAATCAACCTTCGTGTCCTCCACTTTCTCCGAGCCCCCGACCTACACGGAAACAGCCCCCGCCCCAGCTGACTACACCCTACCAGCGGGAAGCGTCACGGCACCCCCTCCTGTCCCGGTGATGCCCCCTTCAACAGGTCTCGTGTCTCAGACTGGTCTACAGAAAATGTAAACCGCAGCTGTGACTGTAAGCAGGGAAACGCATGGGAAGGACGCCAGACATATATATCATAACGTACATCCGGCGACACACACGTAGTCAGTCTCAAGCTGATTCACAACGTACACGCACACATACGCACACACGCACACACGCACGCACGCGCACGCACGGGCCTCTCCGCCCACACGTTCCACCCAGGTACAATGCTAATATTCTCGTACACCGCTGTATGTGATACTGGTTGTTCTTGGAGGTGAAATGTGCCAGTTATCACAGCCGCCAACATCATGGCATCTTTGCATCACTTGACAATACAGTTATACCAGGATAATTCTGAGAGAAGCGACCATACTATCAGCGTCAGTGGATTAGCGTGCGCACGAATTTTGTTCTCAACTCCCCGGGAGGTATTCTTAGTTCTTATATCCTTCTTGTGCAGGTTCAGTTAAACATTTTATAACGTGTTTTTCACTTAATGCGTGCACTAAACCCAGACCATTTCCTTCGCTGTATATTGCTTATGATATGTATAAAGTGACAAGCCAGTTAACCCTATATACGTGTGGTGGTGATGTGTACACATGTGTGGTGATGATTGTGTCAGCAAGGGGATATGCAGTAATAATGATGTAAATATGGGAAAAGCTGTTGAATGGCCTTCTTATGACAGATGGATTACTGACAGGTTTATTTCGTAGAGTGGACATGAGGCCCAAAACACAAGGACTTTTTTTACATAATTTTCTTTGGAGCGCTGACATGGGAAGTATCCTATCCCCAAAAAGAAACGCATAGGTGTTTTGTATTTAAAAAAACCTTCTGGCAATTTCCCCATTTTAAGAATTTCATTAAAAATGCGTTTATAGAAAGGAGACAGTGCATGACACGTAGCTTTGATGGCCCCGTTTGGGATACCATAAGCCCGTTTTTCAAATCATAAACCGATTTTCAAATTTCTTCCTCCATGATTTCACCAGACAGCCTGTGGTCTTTACACTGATCACAATAAGTAACGTCACGGTTATCTAAAATAGTACATTACATCATCATCATCAAAGTGGGTTTCGTGATCGTTACGTGGGTTGAGAAGTGAACTGAAATATTCAAACCAGTTATCAGCTGATATATTTCTACAACTACGTTTTGATTCACTGTGTTTCTTAATGGCCTTCCAAAAGTCTTTACATATGTCTTTCTCAAATACCGCTTTTTTGTGGTTACATATCTTTTTAACATCTCGTTTTACATCGACGTACTCGGTACAATGCACAGGATCGGTTGTCACTCTGAATCTATCGAGAAGTGTATACTTTCTGCGTTTCAAAATGTCACATTCTTTGTCAAACCACTTAGGTTGCGTTTGTTAGTGTTTTGGCCTGTGAGTGTTGCGTGTATGGGAGTGTCGAGTATCAGTCAGAGAAAGACAATGTCTGAACAGGTCAAGCAAGCAGCTTGAGGTTTTGTTGATGTCATTATGAGTTATCAGACTTCTGTGTTAAAGTGTCAGGAGAACTACGCATATTATGAACGAACTTACCGAGCTGCTCTGGTCTCCACGAATACCTGCCGAACACATGTTACTGAAAGAACCTGAATCATACTGTTCATCTATAGGAACACCTGCACCTTCCTGTGACGGCTGTGCCGAAGTTGTAGCGTCTTACACATAGACAAAACCAAATATGTGCATCTGGGCGTGGATGTTGGTCAGGAAAATACGCAGTGGGTGTACAGTGTGGCTACAGACTTCCTGATGTACACGGCAATCCCGCCGCTGTATCCCCCCACGGGGCGAGTCCTCTCCCTTACACACTGGTGACAAGTGTGCTCTGGAAAAGTAGTTTCGAAATCCGTAGTATTTTTGGCCCATGTTTCGATAAGTGCAAAAACGTCAAAGTTGTTTAAAAAGGTTAAGGTTTGTATTTTTGAATAAAAGTATGACCATAGGTAGCAGGACAGCTAGGCACATCAAAATGTGCAGTTGTCGTGCACAAACCCCATGCAAAGTTTAAACAATTCTGCTTAATGGGTTGTACTTTAGACCAATACGAGCCCTCCAGAGATCATTTTCTATCTTCATGATGTTACACACGTCTACCCGCTGCCATTACAGATGGCGCTCCACAGAAGAATTAAACCGTGTACATATGTACCCTGTGTGCAGACCTTCCTTCAAGGAACATACGTGAATTTTGCCGGATGATTTGCAGTATTTTATTGTGTATATATATATTTTTGAATGATATTTGTATTGGATGTTATATTTTTATATCATACGCAAAACATTAACAAATCAATGAGTCTTGTTGTGCTTTGCCGCCTACAGCGAACTTTACGTTCGAACAAAAAAAGAGTGGGTGAGTGAGAGAGTAAGTATGGTTTTACGCCGCTTTTACCAATTTTTCAAGAAGGTGTCTCGGCGGGCCCGGGGTACACCAGAAATGGGCTGTATGTGGGGAATCGAACCCCGGTCTCCAGCGTGACCAACGGACGTTTTAACCTTTAAAGCTACAACTAACTTGAGGTCCTTGTTGTACTGAGGAACTCGCTCGGTTAGGGATCTACACATAAATATAAATGAAGGAAAGAATGCTAAGGTAATCATTCTCTATGTAGCTCGCTGAATGCCTGCGGCTTTGGGAAACAGATTCACACACAAAGGCAGTATAAAACCCATTCCATACAGTCGATTGTACGATTCTGTCGTGAGCATGTGCTTATGAGTCACTATCAGACAGTGATGATACTATTTGTTTGCTGCACTATCAGATAGTGATGATACTATTTGTTTGCTGCACTATCAGATAGTGATGATACTATTTGTTTGCTGCACTATCAGACAGTGATGATACTATTTGTTTGCTGCACTATCAGATAGTGATGATACTATTTGTTTGCTGCACTATCAGATAGTGATGATACTATTTGTTTGCTGCACTATCAGACAGTGATGATACTATTTGTTTGCTGCACTATCAGATAGTGATGATACTATTTGTTTGCTGCACTATCAGATAGTGATGATACTATTTGTTTGCTGCACTATCAGATAGTGATGATACTATTTGTTTGCTGCACTATCAGATAGTGATGATACTATTTGTTTGCTGCACTATCAGACAGTGATGATACTATTTGTTTGCTGCACTATCAGATAGTGATGATACTATTTGTTTGCTGCACTATCAGACAGTGATGATACTATTTGTTTGCTGCACTATCAGATAGTGATGATACTATTTGTTTGCTGCACTATCAGACAGTGATGACACTATTTGTTTGCTGCACTATCAGATAGTGATGATACTATTTGTTTGCTGCACTATCAGATAGTGATGATACTATTTGTTTGCTGAAAGGCCAGTGTGTGGCACCTGTTAAAGGCGATGGCCAAAAGTGAGTTGATCACCGGAAAATTACCCAAATGAACGACACTAGACAAATAGGGAAATGCATCTGACAATAAATTTGTCAAATTTAGAAATATCCTCCACATGTCTACCATAAAACTTTTGAAAGCTTCATTGAATGTTGAACGTTGAATGTTGAAACCTTGATCAGACAACTTCTGAGCACGACTCGTTTGAGGCTCTTGGAAATTTTCCACTGGACCAAAAGCCGGATAGTACACCATTCATACAAACATGCTATGACCGGATTTGCGTACCTTTCCCATACAGCCTAAATTCTGCTTTTATTTCATATACTAAACTGCAAAAGAAACGCAATTCTTTCATCATTTTCATGTTTTTCGTGTTTTTTGCATGAAGTTTTTGTGTTTCACACAAAAATGCGTGCATTTCACTCCAATTTGAAGCTTTATAAGGCAGGTCATTCAAAAATCACCATAGAACACAAAATTGATTGTGACAACGCGGAGAAAACATGCCACGTCTAACTGAACAGCAACGAGGAATCGCCGTTGGAATGTTGCAGACCGGATCCACACCAACTGCAGTGGCCAGGCACATCAGATGTCACGTGACAACAATCACAAGACTATCCGCAAGGTATCGTCAAACTGGTAATGTTCGAGACAGACCACGTTCAGGACGTCCCAGGGTAACAACGCAAGCGCAAGATCGTCACATCCGGGTTACTCATCTGCGTAACCGACAGCAACGAGCAACACAGACAGCTGCAACCATTCAAGGGCCACAACGTCACATCTCTGCAGACACTGTTCGTCGTCGTCTGAGGGCAGCAGGGATCAGATGTCGCCGTCCTTACGTCGGACCGATTCTGACGCAACGTCACCGCCAAATTCGTTTACAGTGGGCGCGACAACACCAGCGTTTGCGACGTCAACAATGGCAACAAGTGTTGTTTTCTGAGTCCTGATTCAACTTGTCCCACGCCGATGGCCGATTACGTGTATGGAGACGACGTGATGAACGTTACGGCAACTGTTGTGTTGTGGAAGCTGACCGCTGGGGAGGTGGAAGTCTCATGGTATGGGGTGGCTTCAGCTACCACCACAGAACACGTTTACACGTGGGGTGAAATTGGTAGATGGATACAGACAGCTGCTCGACCTCAAAACCTTAGAGATTTGGAATCCAGATTGGTCAGGGAATGGAATCAAATTCCCAAAGCCTTCTTTCAGACACTTGTTGACTTGATGAGACGTCGTTGTGCTGCCTGCATTGCAGCCAATGGTGGTCACACGCGCTACTGATTGACACACTGTTTAGTGACATTTTTGGTGTGTGAGGGTGGAGTGATAACATATGCTTTTACAGTAAACTTGAGTGTTGTTTTCACCTGAGATCGCGACTCATTTCTTCAACAACCACTTGTCTGTTGTTTTTTCGTAGTGTTAAGATTGTTTGTTCCACAGATTCAGAAATATTGACATTTCTCAATCAACTTGCGTTTCTTTTGCGGTTCAGTATATGAAGCTGCACCTTTGATCAAGATTTTGTCTTTAGTCGAATCCCCATTCGCCAGGTCTGATGGTAAGTTTAACTTGTGGCAGACGGAACAAATCATTTTGCATAGTTTTCAGCTCTGCATTTAAAAGCTTGCAAGTTGGAAAGTGATGTGAAATAAGAGATCACACAAATACATCGCGCATACAATGCACATGGACGTGCACACGCAAACACGTGTTAAGATATATCTGATCTTGCCATGTAAAAAGTAGGATGTTTCAAAACAGCTGGATACAAGGCTGATGGATAGTTTTGTGTCGATCTGATCTATACAGGACTCGGGATCACAGGATTGCTAGGGACTTAACAAACTGAATTATTACCAAACTAGTGGCACCATGGTCAGTTATGACGTAGAAGACTTATTCACTAACATTCCTCTAGAAGAATCTTTAGCAATCCTGCGATCCGATTAGCGTCATTGTGAGGACAGGTAGCTACACGTGTGTAGGAACGCAAAACTTAAGCTGACAATTCGGATCTGAAATATGCAATTTCTCAAAACCTTGTGAATAACCCTAATCATGGAATTGAATAGGAAACTGAAGTTCTCGCAAAAAAACACATTAGCGGCTGGCGGAAACGCAAACTGATTGTAGCTATCTTCATTAAACGTAGAAAATCAGCAATAAACAGGTGTCAGGGTGTGTACCTCTCCAATGCATGGTTCATAAAACACACCATAATTTCAATGTATACACTGTAATTACTTTACACTCTATATACTTATAAATAAGTATCTGTACATTTCTAAATTAATCCAACAATTTTGCAGTAAAAATATATTATATATTCATAATAACATGTATTCCTAATAGCCCTGTTCGCTGTATACATTCTGACCTCCACATGTATTGCGTCGTCATAGCATTGTGACGTCATAACCACAGTTACTGTTCATTAGTTTTACCTGATGATGAGGCCCCGAGACGTTGTATCAGGGAATAAAGAAAAGATGAAATCCAGAAAATTCTTTATGCTCATCAAATATCTGTAAATATAAATGTAAACTACCAATCAAGCATTAGATTTGGTTACGTTATGCTATCCTTTCCACATTCTATGAAATAAAGCAGTTATTCAACATAATAGATATATGTTAAGTAGATTACAGCGCAAACATGATAAAATTGTAACCATGATTGAACGAAGTGACTAGGAGTGAAGGTGTGACATTTCACTTATATGGGTGGTGCCACTCGTTAGATATAGGCGTAAATAGAATACTGGGTATAACAACAGTTGTCTAACATGGGAGATAATGAGTCATATAGGTATGGTCTTCACAAACCAATAAGCATAACCGGGCATGGTTTGATCCACAACGACAGGATCCTGGGACCCGTTCCTCAAAGCTTTCCTAGCGCTACTATTGTCGTACCTCCTATAGTGCAGCATAGACATACGAGAGTCGTAGCGCTACGATAGCTTTCTGGAACGGGGCCCTGGTACATTAGAGTAACGCTTAGTGTCCAAAAGAAATGAAAAGGAGCGACAGTGAGTTGAGGGATTACGAACCAGAGGAAATCTAGACTTGCTACTTGTAGATTGTTGCATTGCGGAAGAGAAATAATGAGGTTCTGTGACCAGGAGACAGACTGTAAGCACGTCTAAGGGCCATGTGACCAGGAGATAGACTGTTGGCACGGTTAAGGGCCATGTGACCAGGAGATAGATTGTTGGCACGGCTAAGGGCCATGTGACCAGGAGATAGACTGGTAGCACGTCTTAGGGCCATGTGACCAGGAGATAGACTGTTGGCACGTCTAAGGGCCATGTGACCAGGAGATAGACTGTTGACAATCGGAATGTGTCAGATAGGGAATCACGAAAGGGTTAATACGAGGGGTTCCGAACGACATATTCAGATTGTACTGATCCGTCAGTCATCGTGAAGCTCTCACTTCAGTGGTGTAAACGTTTGAAACGGGAGAAACCTTCCATATCCATGCTGCCATACAGAATCAATCAGACATTTTAGAATTTTCCTGTCAGTTTTATCATTTTGACTGACATTTTTCAAAGCGCACTCTGGAGTGGAGGGTGGAGCGAAGAGGTCAGGGAGGTGCCCTGCTGCTAATGGTGATTTCATGTATGGCATAGGCCACAAAGAGCGTTAATGATTGACCTCCAATGAAACAAACATCTTCAGATCCTTCTGTTACATTACACACCTTGGGATGGTATGGTCTTTACAATAGATAGCGGTTTATTTATCATATCAACCTCTTGTGACGTCATTGTAACGGGTATTTTCAACAGTGTCTTCATCGTCACTAATATCGGAATGCTTAGGCGAAATACCAATGTTTTTGGTCCCAAAAATAGACTTAAATGCTCAATATTCTGTCTATCTGCAGCCAGCTCATCATCTGACTCAGTCGACATCTTGCACACGAATGATCTTGACTATTCTGAACACCACGTGCTCACAACTGAGTTGTATTTTTGTGCTTTGTTTTAGTTTTCGTTTCCTTTTAAAATGTTTTATTTCGTTTAGTTATAGAAATATAAATAATCTAAAAATATTATCCCATAATTGCAGCATTTGTTTTCTTTCAAAATGGAAATTACATGATGATAAGAACGCCCTTAATGTATACAACTTTGCGGTATTAGCAAATTCCGCGGAGTATCCCAACGATGTTTAATACTATGTCTGGTTACGCTCTAAAGACTGGGCCAATCAACAATTGCCTGTATGTCTTACAGCCATAAAACTGCAGCAGATGTCATCTTTGCAGATGGTACATTCTCTTGCTCACCTCGACTGTTTGACCAAATCTACTCGATCCATGCTGAATACCAAGGACACATGCTACCCCTGATATAGGGACTCTTGCCAAACAGAAGCGACCCACACAAGTGTGTTTGATTATCTGAAAAAGACTGCAGCGACTCAAGGACTTCAGCTTTCTCCTGATGTGTTTCAGTTGGACTTTGAACGTGCATCTCACAACGCTGCCAGTACTGTATTTCCAAATACTCAGCTTCGTGGCTGCTTCTTTCATTACACCCAGTGCATCTGGCGTCGCACACAGAAAATAGGCCTTGCTCCAGAGTACAAGTCAGACAACAATGTGAAAAGACTAGTGCGTCGAGCTGCAGCTCTACCTGTAGTGCAACTGGTTAAAGTTGAAGATGTCTGGCTTGATGCCATTAGGTGAGAAGGCGACACAGCTGATGGATTACGTTACTACCACCTGGGTAGAAGGTTCATGGACTCTGCCAACTTGGAATCATTTTGAAAATGATGGACACAGAACTGACAATAATTTGGAAGGTTGGCACAACAGAATCAACAAGTATGCCATGAAGACACATCCGAATGTGTTTGAGGTTGTGTGAATGCTGCAAAAAAACAAACCCAGTCAGTTACTGAAGTTAAATTTCAGCAGATCCAAGGACAGCAGAGAGATCCCGTCCGTAGACGTCGGTGCCGAATCATCGACGCTAGGATTCGGTCCTTGAAGGCCGACCTTCTTGCCAGCAGACTTACTGACTTGGACTTGTGTGTATGTATGTATGTATGTATGTATGTATGTATGTATGTATGTATGTATGTATGTATGTATGTATGTATGTATGTATGTATGTATGTATGTATGTATGTATGTATGTATGTATGTATGTATGTATGTATGTATGTATGTATGTATGTATGTTTGTGTGTGTGTGTGTGTATGCATGCATGCATGCATGTATGTATGTATGTATGTATGTGTGTGTGTGTGTGTATGCATGCATGCATGTATGTATGTATGTATGTGTATACACACACAAATATATCGTGTGAGATTTATGAAATATATATATAAATATTGTATGTAGTGTGACATATGATACATACATGTTGTTATATTGACTAAATATATTGTCTGCTATATATATCACACTCTGTTCTTAATTGGTTTGTTAATTTCGAGAACACTGGGAGTGAAGTCACTCATGAAGAACATCATCTCCCTTTCTCCGGACTGTCGACAAGTAATTTGGACGGATTATTTGTTCTTGTCGACAGTCCGGGTATAAACCGTATATATGAGCCGTTAACGCAACACTGGCCATGGTATAACTCTGCAAGGTGTGGATCCTATGTTGCCTTGTTGCCCGTTTCGTTCTCACATCTTTACCTTAAGTGCCGCCTGGTACTAAATGTGTGCACAGCGACCAGGTGACATAATGGCGAAGTGGGTGGACCCACCTTGAGAGTTTCCAGGTCTTCAGTCCGACTCCACACTGAAATACGTCACAGGTAATGTTTCAGTAACTAACAGAAATTGGTTGTCGAAAATAGGCGACTGCAGGGAAGAGTTGGTAATGTAACTGTAAACCAGGTGGCGCTTTGTCGGCAGCATGGGATACTCCCCAGGACGTAGAGAATGACATTTGCGATCCATTAAGTGATGATGATAAGTGCCATGAGCATACCAGTAGACGCGGTAGTCAGAGGAACTAGTGCTAAAAATAAAGTATACAGTATGCTTGATCAAACTTGAAACGAAAACAAAAGCATTTATAAATGAACATCTGTTTAATTTCAATATTGTATTCAATTTTACAGCAAATGTTCAAATTTCATTTCATACAAAGTCGAAAGTACCGTTTGCCTGACACTGAAAGACACGTGGTATCATAGTCTGAACTTTCACAAATCAGCATGGCGGGTCTTTCTGCAAAATGTCATCGAATGTTGAATCAATAGTGAGTGTGACCATCATTGACTTCAATACACGACAAAACACGTCATTGATGACGTACGACGCCGAATGACGTTAGGCGTGATCCGCTGCCATTGCTGTAGGAGACATGTTCCAGTGACATGTGGTGCTGGTATTTATATATACTGATTTGTCGATTCAAGATGTCCCAAAAGTGTCCTATCGGACCCTATCTATTTTGTGTTTTTTATGTAATATTTTGCGTTGTATACTTTCTTTTGAACTCTAGTTTATATACATCATCACAACAACATTAATGGTGATAATAGTGAGTGAGTGGTTTTAGTTTTACGCCGCCTTTAGCAATATTCCAGCAATATCACGGCGGGGGATACCAGAAATGGGCTTCACACATTGTACCCATGTGGGAAATCGAACCCGAGTCTTCGGCGTGACGAGCGAACGCCTTAACTACTAGGCTACCCCCACCGCCTAATGATGATACTAACTGCGATGACACAATATATAATATATTGTCTTTTACAAAATGACTCTCTAATGTCACAATGCATTATTACTCATAACGCATCAACTACCAGGTTACAACAGACACTGAGTATTGACAGTGTATTTATTTATAGAACCAACTCTTGACATAATGGGGACGCTTCTTTCAGGCCAGGAACACTGCATGAACTACTTCTCTTTGATAAAAACACACACTCGTGTTTACTGTATAGTTGAACAGGTCGGCGTATCTGATTATCCTTGTTAACAGTTGGGTCATATTTTGTTTTCATTGCGAAATTCACCGTTGCTTCACAACCATGAAAGAAATGAATGGCAGGTGTCCAAACGCTGTAATCCTGTTTGAATACGTCTCAACAGGAGACCTGTAATGGAGACATGGCTGTCTGCACATGACGCAGACCTTTAGGTTTCAAACTATGCACATGACGCAGACCTTTAGGTTTCAAACTATGCGCATGACGCAGACCTTTAGGTTTCAAACTATGCGCATGACGCAGACCTTTAGGTTTCAAACTATGCGCATGACGCAGACCTTTAGGTTTCAAACTATGCGCATGAGGCAGACCTTTTTTCCTTTGATGTTCACCGATCTGGTCTTGCAACTGATTGATGTTTGTTTAGTGGCATAAAAAGAGAATTCATGAATGACTAATTAACTTAGTGAATACTGATCAATCAGGTATCACCTATATGAGTAGGTATTCCCCTACAGTGAATCGTGTTCAAAATTACACCACTTGATAATATCAATATGATATTTGTGTCTGTGTGTGTGGTTGGGGTGGGTTTTTTTGTTGTTGTGTGTGTGTGTGTATGTGTGTGTGTGTGTGTGTGTGTGTGTGTGTGTGTGTGTGTGTGTGTGTGTGTGTGTGTGTTTTATGTACCGACTGAATAAGAGAAATCGTGAATAGATTTCCTGGTGCTGCCTTGCCACGAACTGTGGATCAACAGCTTCGACATCGGATGACGTCATCACAATAGTTAGCATTAACCACACCCACCCTACTGTACACAAGGAAATTAAGGTAAATATGGCATTTTACAAGTATCGTAATGTCAAATATATTTGAATATAAATACATTGCAACATGAACTATAACAAGGTATGCTTTTGAGTATAATCTAAGCCACATTGTGTATTGATTCTAATGCTGTTTTTGTTTTAGGCAAAAGGTTCTTACAAATATGAAGACGATTGCCAAGTCATCCGTCGAGCCCATGCATCACTGAGACATTGAGACATTGGATGATACCCTCTTAGCTCTAACGGCGTCTACAGAATGTCGATTTCACCTTCATGGACTGTGCAGATTCTGCTTCTTTCAACCTTAAGTTGTGCTGGCTTCCATTTGTTTTGTAACATCTGAATTGCAAAGAGTTGCACATGTGTAAATATATGTATAACAAATATATATCTGATTTCATTTTGTATGTACCAATCTATAAGCTAGGTAGACCGATAGAACTAACGAGCTGATCACTCGGTCATATAATCCGGATTAACACTACAGGTCAAAGTATGCTTCATGTGCATAAACCGGATACATGTCATGAGCGTTGACCAACTGGACCGTAACGTGGCTATAAGTACCCGTTGCTACCTGGCCTAACAAACACATGCCGATTAATACCACTTCACGGCTGCAGCTTGTGTGTATGTATTCGTTCTTGGCGGATGGTGTTTTCTACGTCGGTCTAATACAGGGCTACAAGTCCATGGGATTCAGTATATAAGGCTTTGATATACTGAACAAGGAACAAACATGGCGGCAGTTTTGACCAGATGCTTGGTCCTCATGTTCTTTGTTTATTCCATACGTGATTCATCGGCTGAATCGACTGAAGAAGATATAACTGGTAAGTCTATTGCTCACGTAAAACATATAGCTTTGTTTCTTGTCAGCTGTTCATAAAGACAGATTGATAAAGTTTGAACTTTAATCATAAAGTCAAGAAAGCAGTTATCTTGCCAAAACCGGAAATTATTGAACTAAGTGAACTAAGTAAACTAAAAGAGATATACCGTACGAATCTTAAATGAAACCTTTATATGGCATATAACACAAATATCTTGAAGAAAACTCTGTTTCAACAGTCAACATTTGTAGCCCAAAACGTTAAATTCGTGGTCCGGAAAGACATTAGTCTAAGTAAACTTAGACTCAGTATTAATCGTTACACTGCCATACTGAGTCTAACAAACCCTAGTAGAAGGTCGCGTCAGCTAACCTTTTGAACTGACCAATCAGAACACAGCTTACCAAATCGCGAAAGTTAACATTCGCATATACCGTTTGAACTTTCACCTCGAAAACGTTTGTACGCGACCGATTCCGAATTCCATCGATAGTCTCATTAGATAGAATTGTAATAACCAATAATTCGACACATGTAACAAACAGATATGGCGCTACTGGGTCTCCTTGACGGCATCCGCTTCTCAAGGAAAAGAAGTTTGACAACGAACCCGATAACTTCGAAGCACTACAGCTATTACGCTGAAGCAGTTTAATCCAATTTCTAAGTAGAGGGCCAAAATTATATGCTTCAAGTACCTTGTCAATAAAGTCCCATTCGACAGTATCGAACTAAAAGACCGGATAGTTTATATTCTTCACAATAATTCATTAAGTCATATAATATTCTAGTATTATCTCTTAAAAATCTATTTTTTAAGAAGCCTGTTTGAGTTTCACTTTTAACTCAGGAAGGACTTCTGTAATCGTGAAGCCGTGGCCCCAGATGCAATTATGTAAGCTACATTTAGAAAACTTATAATAATATAATAATAATAATGCTTATTTTTGCACCCATAATCCAACACGATGTTGCTCTCTGGCGTTACATTATTATCCTGGCGGAATTGTACTTTCAAAGCTGCTACTAAGGGCTAAGCGCGACCGTATAGGTACATCCGCTTTTCAGGTACCCATTTTGAACAGCTGGGCGGACTGAGTGCAATGTGACGAAGTGCCTTGCCCAGGGACACAACACAGTATGAGACCCAGGTCACAAATATTGGTATCTCCACCGGGATTCTAACCCGCGAATCCACGGCCCTTTGCTCCACAATGTTATAGGTCGCCAATGTTTTAAACATCGCCTATCATGAGAGTCTTTTGGCAAACACGTTATGATACCTTGTCGTTGAAAGTCAGACAACATTCCAGTTTCGTATGCATATGTTATGGATCGCCAGGGAAATACACCTATGTCTTTCCAGAAACATTTATAAAACTCTGCAGTGAAACCATCGGATCCAGGATTCTTTCGATTCCTCATATTCGTCTAGCGTAAGTTTATTTTAACAGAATTCGCGTTTATCATTTGATATTTTCTGGTAATTATTATTCGTAAATACATCTAGGTAATCTTGCCAATCTTTTGCGTGTTTACTTGTATGTAAATTGCTATAATATTCTGAATATATTCACTATGTCTTCCTTTTCCGTCAGAATTTCATTTTTTGTTATTATCATATTCATGCTCTTATTCACATAGTTTCTCTTTTCTATATTCATAAAATATTCAGTATCCTTCTTTCCCTCTTCATACGAATTGGCCTTGCTCCTAAATATGATTCCTTTTACCCTTGCTGTCCTAATAGTTCAAGTCTTTCTTTCTTTAAACACAAATTTTATCATCATTACTACTTAAAGTTTGAGCTCTAGCCTCCATTTAATCGATTTCACGTTCGAGCGTTTCTTCTTTTTCAGTTTGTGTTTTCAGTTTATTTAAATATTCATTTGTCTTAGTTCTTATCTTCCTTTTTAATATTTCAAAAGATACTTGATCATTTACTGATAATTTAATAGTTTCTAAATTATCGATGTTTCCGGTGATACAATATTCGGCCACTGTATCGCGTATTGTTTGCGTGACGTGTGTTACATTATCATTGTCATACAATAAAGATGGGTTGAATTTCCAGTAACCCGGTCCACGTTCTACTGGACTAAGGGCAAGTTCTAAGGAAATAATAGAATGATCTGTAACTTACATCTATAGAAGTACGTTTAACTAGGGATATAAGCTCTTCAGAGACGAGGAAATAATCAAACGGTTACATCGAAGATGAATTTCTCCTCTAACTAAGGGGAGCCACCTGCAAACCTTATGCAGATGAATTGCACGAGGATAAGTCGTCAGGAAATACTGATAATTATCACTATGTCAGTTGCTTATTAGCATGTCACTTAAACGTGTGTGACACCACTTGAAACCAACGTACCTCACATGACTCTGCCGTAGACGTATGCTGGTGGTGACATTCAGCAGGTGAGTCTCCTGTCGACTCACCGGTCTCACCTTACGACATGCTATATCTGCTTTCATGTAAACAAAGGTATTGTTATGAATGTATATACCACATTCTTCCTTAATTCTGCAAGAATGGCTTGTGTATATGTTCTACTTGCTCGTAATATTTCTGTATATGGTGAAACGTAAATAAAGTGTCTGTCTGTCTGCATGTCTGTTTGTCTGGTATCCGTTAGATCAAATTATACTGTTATTGGAGGTCGTACTATGATTCATAAAGTGAAGACAAAACTACAACTATCTGAAAATATAGAATGTTATCAACAGTGTAATATGTATTATAGTATCATTGGCAGCTACACCCAACTGAATGGCATATTTCAGATTACATGGACGAGCGGTGCTATTGGACAATAGACTTCAACCTTTACGGCATCTCGGAAAGACTAGTGAAACTATCCCAGTCCAACGTCTACTCTGCAAACAGTACCTGTTTCATCAAGTTCCAAGCTAAAGCAGGCTACAGACTGATGTTCAAATTCCTGTCGGTTGAGATGGATACATGTGATGACTTCCTGGGTGTTTACGGTGACTCCCTCACCGCTCCAGACGGTGAGTGAAACCCATCCTCGCCACTCAGGGGATTAGTAGTTATCTTAGCAAGCTTAGTTTAGTGGGTAAGTCGGATTGGGAGATCTCTCCACCGACCCCTCCATGACGTCTACGGGGGTGGGGTGGGGAGGTGGCAGGTTATCAACCACGACCCAGAGTCTGTTCCCTTTATCCATGACGTCTACGTGGTTAGAGTATCCAGGCAGGTTATAACAAGATGTAACATGGTTTTACAATTGTCTTTCAGCGGTCAATGTATTTGTGTGTAGTCAGCCACATACAGTGTATACCACCCCGAGCAGGACAGGCTTCCTGCTGTTCATCAGTGATGCCCAGGGGAATGCTGGAGGGGCCTCCGTCCTGGTGTCAATGTTCAAGACCAAGAGTACGTACTAGTCGAACATTTACTGAATTATCCATGAGTTGCAAGGAAATACTTCTCGATGAATAAATGTTGAAGCGTCCCAAGCATGCTGGAGAACACTGAACATTAGCAGCGACAAATAAACCCTGTTCCTGGTTGCCATCAGTTGTTTGCATTACCTTCAGTCTTTCTTCACAGTGAATGTTAGAATCTGAATAGAAAGAATCTCGTTTTATACGTAACATACATACCATTTTCTAACGGTTAGTCACGTGAAGATATGGGTTAGAATTGATCCTCAGCAACCCCTGCTTGTTGTAAGAGGTGACTAACGGGATCAGGTGGTCAGACAATCAATCGTGAATGATAAATATAGTGAATCTGGAGCTGGAACCCATGACGTTAACGTAATGGGACGTGTAGAGTGAATCTGGAGCTGGAACCCATGACGTTAAAGTAATGGGACGTGTAGCGTGAATCTGAAGCTGGAACCCATGACGTTAAGTAATGGGACGTGTAGAGTGAATCTGAGCTGGAACCCATGACGTTAAGTAATGGGACGTGTAGAGTGAATCTGGAGCTGGAACCCATGACGTTAAGTAATGGGACGTGTAGAGTGAATCTGAAGCTGGAACCCATGACGTTAAAGTAATGGGACGTGTAGAGTGAATCTGAAGCTGGAACCCATGACGTTAAAGTAACGGGACGTGTAACTTAAGAGATAATCGATTGTCCTAATCCCTAAATGTTTCTCTCCAACGTGATAGAAGATTTCATTTAAAATGGATTGTTGTTTAACGCCGCACTCAGCAATATTCCAGCTATATTGGGCCAGACGATCCAGTGATCAAAAGCATGAGCCAAGATCTACGCAGCTGTGTCAACACAAGTCAGCGAACCTGACCACCCGATCCCCATCTTACAAACATTGGCTACTGAAGATCATATCTAATCCGGACCTTCAAGGGTTGAAATCGACGTTGAACAATTCACTTACTCTCTCATGCACAGATACACTTCACCATAATGTTGGCATAAGGTGCATGGAACCCGATTCACATATTCACGCATTCACTCACATTTCAGGTGGTCCTTGTGGCGATAAACATTTCAACTGCGAAAATGATCGCTGCATCCCCGACAACCTGAAATGCAACACACGGGACAACTGCGGCAACAACCAGGATGAGGAGGAGGGGTGTCGGTGGTGGCTGGGCTTGGCAATCGGTCTCTCGGTCACGGCAGTTTTTGGAATCGGTGCATTTATCTTCTTCATAATATTCCTCATGAAATACTCCGCTCGTAAAAAGGTCGGTGAACACTTGGTCCATGTCGCTTAGGTGACCTGTGTGTGCGGTGTAGTGGCAGGCGTTTAGCTATATACACGGTCTTAGCGGCAGGCGTTTAAATATATACACGGTGTATAGCGGCTGGTGTTTAAATATACACACGGTGTATAGTTGCAGGCGCTTAAATATATACACGGTGTATAGCTGCTGGTGTTTAAATACATACACAGTGTATAATGACAGCCGTTTAGATATATACACGGCCTATAGCGGCAGGCGTTTAAATATATATACACCTATATGCACTGTTTATAGCGACAGGTGTGTAAGTATATACACGGTTTATAGTGGCAGGCGTTTAGATATGTACACGGTTTATGTTGCAGACGTTTGAATTTATATCTTTTTCGTGTTGTTATTTAATGAAACACTAGGACTATACAATGTACAACATCCACGCCTTCGTGGATTCCAGCTACAATGTGTGATGTGATAACTAAGACGTCCTGCGTTCACAGGTTCAAAGCCAGCCTGTGCAAAGCTGGACTCTCGCCCCACCCCGACAGAGCTGGGCACACACTCACGCCTCCAGCAGCTCTGGGAACCAACACCAGATGCAGCATGTTTCCCAGTCCTACCCCACAAAGACCGGTAACAACACACAGTACTTGGATATGGGAAGAGGTCAAGGCCAGCAGTCAACCTTCGTGTCCTCCACTTTCTCCGAGCCCCCGACCTACACGGAAACAGCCCCTGCCCCAGCTGACTACACCCTACCAGCGGGAAGCGTCACGACACCCCCTCCTGTCCCGGTGATGCCCTCTTCAACAACCGGTGTTGTGTCGACATCTCTGACTGGAACATAAGGTCCACAGAAAATGTAACCCTCAACTCTCACTGTGAGCAGGGAAACCCTTGGGAAAGACGCCAGAGATATATTTCATAATGTACATGAGGTGACACACACGCAGTCTAGCTGTCTCAAGCTGCTTGACAACGTACACACACACACACACACACACACACACACACACACACGCACGCACGCACGCGCACACACACACACACACACACACACACACACACACACACACACACACACACACACACACACAGCCTATAAAGTTATACCGGGATCATTTTCAGAGGAGCGACCATATTATCAACGTCAGTGGATTTGCGTGCACACGAATTTCGTTCTCAACTTCCAGGGAAGTATTCTTAGTTCATATATCATTCTTGTGGAGGCTCAGTTAAACATTTTAAAACGTGTTTTTCACTTAATTCGTGCACTAAACCCAGACTATATCCTTCACTGTATATTGGTAATGATGTGTGTGAAATGACAAGCCAGTTGTTAACCCTATGTAGGTGTGATTGTGATGTGTACACATGTGTGGTGATGACTGTGTCAGCAAGGGGATAAGAATAATGTAAACATGGTTAACAGCTTTCTTATGATAGTAGGATTAAACCGTGTACACATGTACCCTGTGTGCAGACATTCCTTTAAGGAACATACGTGAAGTTTTTGGGATGATTTGCAGTATTTTGTTGTGTATGTATATTTCGAATGATATTTGAATTGGATGTTATTTTTATACAAAACATTAGCAAATCAATGCGTCTTGTTGTGCTTTGCCGCCTACAGCGAACTTAACGTTCCAGTATGAAGAGTGTGAAGTGAGTGAGTATGGTTTTACGCCGCTTTTAGCAGGGGTAGCCTAGTAGTTAAAGCGTTGGCTCGTCACGCCGAAGACCCGGGTTCGATTCCCCACATGGGCACAATGTGTTACGCCCATTTCTGGTGTCCCCCGCCGTGATTTTGCTGGAATATTGCTAAAACCGGCGTAAAACTAAACTCAGTCAGTCAGTTATGAAATGAATATGCATGTATGTACGAGTCTGAATGAATGTCTGCCATGTAATTCATCGTCCCCTGGTGAGACTTTGGGCCCTAGAACCACTCACAAACGAAATCACAAGAGTGTGCGAAATAGTTTCCAAATTTTGCTAACCAGTCGGGCTAGTTATGCCTGAAAGTTACTAGCCCACTGAATAATTCACTAGCCAGAAATTTGAATGTAGACACGGATTTCTTCATTAAGTTGCTGATATGTTGAACATTTTTATAAGGCCATAATCTTCTATAACTTAAGTCGGAGATTAAGATTTACAAAATGACCCCATAAATATTCGCTAGACAGTCGGGCCAGTGACTGGAGATTTTCTGGCCTGACTGGATTTTTTTGCACACTGCATCACAACATACACCCCTCGAAATATTTTGTTTTTACATACAATAAGGGCGATAAAACCCTTTCCACATAGTTGATTGTACGATTCTGACTCACATCATGAACATTTGTTACTATCAAATAGTGAGTGAGTTTGGTTTTACGCCGCTTTTAGTACTATTCCAGCAATATCAAGCCGGGGTGCACCAGAAATGGGCTTCACACATTGTACCCATGTGGAGAATCGAACCACGGAAACAGAGACGAACGGTCTACTTCAGAGATGTCCTTGTAACCAGAGCCCCAGTTAACAAGATCAAAACCAGCGTCTACAGAATACCACCCCACTCCGACCAATACATACACTTTGACTCCAACCAACCCCTGTGAACCAAAACAGCCATAATGTCCACCCTCAACAGACGAGTCATCAACTTCTTCCCCACCAGTCCTACTGCAGAAAAATAATCTTCTCCGCCATGTTTTCACCAAATTCATCCACTACCCGTCAAAGTTACTAGTAGTCGACAACATTATCAGCACCGGCCACCAACAAACCTGAACCAGCACCTATTCGTATCTCTCTCCCCTTCATTGGGAAGATCTCCCACCACATCAACCGTCTCCTAAGGCGACAAGCGGGCATCGAAACCTACTTTACCAGCTCTACACCACTGAAAAACCACTGAAAGCTAATGGCAGGTACACATCAAAACAACAACATCAACCCAAAGGTGTTATCTACAAAATCAACTGTGACTGTGGCGAGACCTATATAGGTGAAACCTCCCGGTCCATAAATATCTGAATCAAAGAACACTTATCATCTACCACAAAATCAGACGGAAAATCAGCAATCTCAGACCACATATGTAACTGTTCTAATCACAACATAATCTGGGACAATGTAGAGATAATATCGAAAAACCTCCAGGACTTCAGCAAAAGAAAGGCAGTTCAAATCAGCAGACACAAGTCCTCAGTCAACAGAGATCAAGGCTGTCTCATCCCATCTGCATACTATGAACTGATATAAACAGTTGACAAGTTTTGTTTTTAATCTTAAAATCACCGACAGTGGTACAAGAGAATAAAAATACATGTATACATATACACTAAATGCCAAAAGAAACGTTTCACCCCCAACCCCCTACCTTTATGAATTGCTGAAAAATTATCAACGATACGTTAGAAGGTATTAGTTTACAAGGCAGCTTATAACAATAACGAAACACATTTCTCAAAGGCATTCATATTTAGGTGAAATGAATCTTTTTTCAGAAGAGTTGAATTGTCCTATTTTCGTCCATGCCGAAATAAACCAATAACAGTGATTTAGATGTCCAAAAGAAAGGTCGAAATAAAATTATGCTTTGAGAAAAACCATTTTATAGTCACCCTTTCAACTTTGAAAACAAGAAACAACTGTTGTAGATTGTGTAGAATTGTAAAATAATCATTCCTATTATTGCAGTCTTTTAAAACATTTTCTGCTTATTTGCATTAGTGAAAACAAGTAAAACGTCTCTTTGATGTTGTGAAAAAATGTCTAGGAATATCTAAAATTATCTTTGTTAACATTTTTGCTTGCAAAGTAACATTTTTCCATTTTCTGTTTACACATAGCCATTTAAAAAACGCAGCAATATTCAAGTAGTGTTTGGATCAAGTTCACGTGTAGAATGATTATGTAAGGTATAAAAAGAGCCTAGAATACATGATATGATACACAAGTACGAGAAATATGCCACGATTATCAGCCGAAGAGAGAGGAAGAGCCATTGGGATGGTGCAGATGGGGTCGACATACGATGCTGTTGCCAACGCCCTCGGATGCCACCGTATCACGGTTATAAGACTTATTCATGGCTTCAGACAGACTGGGGTCATCGTAGACAGACCCATCCTCAATAATCTCCAGGGTATATATATATATATATATAGTGGAGTGTGATCGTAACGTATACCCTGGAGATTATCGAGGATGAGATAGACCAAGAAGTGGACGTCCACACATCACAACGCCAGCTGAAGATAGGTACCTCCGTCACGAAGGAAGGAGGGTAACGTTTCTTTTGGCGTTTAGTGTATTACATAATCAAACAAGAATGGTGATATCAGTAGCATAGGTTATTTGAACTTTTCAAAAAAAATATGTAAATATTTCGACAGATTCTTCAATTCTGACATTTTTCTTGTGCACGTTAAATTTATTTGAACTTTTCAAAAAAAAATATGTAAATATTTCGACAGATTCTTCAATTCTGACATTTTCTTGTGCACGTTAAACTTTTGCATTTGTACATACATGTTTTCTATTTGGCCATTTAAAATATCGTTGAAAAATAATTTCTTCATTATTGTTACATTAGAACATAGTTGCACATGGCCATAATTGTCCATGTTGGTCTTACTAAAAATGAACCGACTGCTTTTTGGAATTATTTAAAATGCCAACCTTCTAAAGATGAAAACATTTCTTTAGAAAAACTTTATGACAATTTTCGGTCACTAAATATAAACAATGAAACTGACGATGACAAGATATCATTTGATATTGACGACCTTACAGAATCAAACGAGGAACTCGATAACAACATTTCTACTGACGAAATACTTTTGTCTATTAATAATCTGAAGAATATGAAAGCTGTAGGTGTTGACAAAATAGAAAACGTACATATTATTTCCACAAAGGACATCTTCCTTCCTTTTTATTATGTATTTAACCTGGTCTTAGATAGTGGATATATCCCGGAAACCTGGTTAACCGGAATTATTAAGCCAATTTACAAAAAGAAAGGTGATTGTAATAACCCAGATAATTATCGACCAATCACTTTACTGTCATGCCTTGGGAAGTTATCCTCTGTCCTTAATGCAAGACTTAATAAGTATGTTGAGGGAAATAACATTCTCTCTGAAATACAGGCTGGGTTCAGAAAAGGTTATTCGACAGTGGATCATATTTTTGTCTTAAAGAACCACTAAACTTTGTTTTTTCTTATTCTTTTAACCATTACATATGAAAGATTTGTGGTTAGTCTTATGCGGAACACCAAATTTATTCTTTAAAAACTTGTGGTTAATTAATACCGAGCGATTAAAAGTGCCCAAAAAGTCGCCTGCTTCCCTCTCGCCCGCCAACGAAACCACAGACAGGTTACGTAACTCTGTCGCCAGACCACTGCAGTGACGTCATATGAGGAACGATTTTCAGTTAGTTGTATAGAAAATGTGAAGCACGCTCATCATTTTGATGATTTCTCGACATCAACGACGACATGCCGAATCGTTGCTTTGTCGTCAATTGCTCCTAGGGGTCGGGCGATGGTGTCCCCATGCACTGATTTCCACAGGACCCCGCAGTTCGTGCTAAATGGGTTATGTTTGTGAGTGCGAAGCGAGCGTTGTGGAAGCCTGAAACGATATCTTACTTGTGTTCAGATCGCTAAAGAATCAAAACTACTTACTAGTTGTAGTAAAATATGCATATGATTCATGACCATAAAGATTTTCTATGACACAACTTGTAACATAACGATTTCTTCCTCGGAAGTGAGGTTGTGGTCGAAGTAACAATAATATTGTAAGTAGTATTATATTGAAACCCACCTCGCTGCCACGAGAGAAATTGTTATGTTATACGCTATGTCATGCAAAATCCTATTGGCCATCAATAAAATACATATTTTACTACCAGTAGAAAGTAGTTTTGATTTTGTAACTCGGTGAAAACAAACCTAAATACCATTTATCCTCAGACTGGCGGATGTTCCCGACAGGGC